CATATTTACCAATCGAAAGCGGCATTAATGAGCATCAACTGTATAATACTAAGACAAACTTATGGGTTATTTCGACTATGCCACAATGACCTCAAATACTGTCTCGAAGAAATCGTTCACTGCTTCCAGCTTTGTGTTGACTTGCAAGAAGATTATCTAGTATAAGCCAGAATGAAAGTTAAAATAAGATAATTAATAATATATTTTTTTAACAATAACTTTGGTCATTTTGGTTAAAATATTACATTTTTTTCTAAACTTGTATAATCGGTTCTGGGTGGATATGGATACAGTGAATATGGATACATAAAACATTATGTTTTCTACCGTAAGGTACCTAAATATTTTTAGGTACCTTACCTTAAATTAGCCAAATTTTACATTACTTAAAGCGTTTCCTAAATCTTATGAAGGATCTTATGAAACTTGAGAATTAAATTATTTGCGAAAAGGATTAAGTAGAGCAAACCCACTGGGAAGCAGTTTGCACTTAGGCATATTTGACACGTCCCATTAAAAAATAAATTTCCCAGTTATCCTGAGATTTGTGTAAATTATACTTAGCAATTTTAAAGTAACTTTAGCATTCAAGAGAGCAGAAAAGTGTCACAACGTTGAAACTGATATATCACCGAAGAGAAACCATAGTAATTTTCGCAGTTGGACGCAATTCAATCTTGTATATTTTAAATTTTTGTAATTATAATTTAAAAAAAAATTGAAAATTCTAAAAAAAATTCAACAAGCGAAAGTAAGTAATGTCCTGCGGTTCGTAACGGGAATATCACTAGTAGGATATGTGAGTACATATCCTGTTCGCATGATAGTTCTCATTTCGTCGAGTTCAGTTTGAGATTTTGTGCATGTGATAAGGAATATGTAATTGCTGGAAATTATATAGGCTGAGTGCACATGAAAGAGAGGTACTGACGTAGGAAGGCAAGTTAGCAATTGTAACGGTTGTCGCATTGGGGTGAGACGTGCATTGCGGCAGTTGCCGTTGTAGAGGAAAGTCTGTCGGTGACTGTTGTAAGCATTTTATTAGCGGCAATAATGTTTTGTCGCTAATCAATTACTCGTACAGTTTTAGTACTGCCATTCTTCTCTACATTTTTTTTAATTTAATTTTATTAAAATTCAATGATGAAACGATGCATACCCCCTCCACTAATTTGCCCACCTCGCTTTCAATCGAATATGCTGCTTTATCTTTCGTTACAATATTATTTGCTGTGCATTTAGTCCTTTTAATTGTGGGACATAATGGCATTTAATTGTGGGTTGTCAGCACGTTTTGTCCGACTTATTTACAAGGTATTAAGTAAATATGCATTAAAATAGAAAAAAGTTTAATAAAAATTAATTTAACTACTGTGGTCGGCAGGCAGCGGGCTCATTGCTTAGCCGATGTCTATTTATTGGGTCGAAAAATGTAACACAACTAATCATTGGGAAAGTGTGTGGAACAGGTTGGAGGACGTTCTCATCATAAATCATGTCATATAATTACGAACTGAATTGATTGTTTGCAGTGATTACGTTTTAATTGATAAATTTTAATAATTTTTAGTTAGAACTGTTGGAACTCCCGTTTGGGAGTTTATGGACTTTCGTCATCCAATTTTTTTTATACTATAGTAAAGTAATACAAACATATTAGATTTGGAACTAATTTATATTTATATTTCAAAAATTTGTTCAGTTCATCATTGACAGTGAACACATCACATTACTGCACTACATGCAAATGAACATAGCTCTATTTGTGTACTAATACAGCACTTTTGTGCTAAATGAAAGCACTTGCGCATTTCTTTCATAGAAAATAACTATAAATTTAATTTTATTCGGATTTATAATTGAATGCAACTTTTTGATTGAGTTGTCTGAATAGAATATTAATATAAGTATTAGAGAACATTAATTGTTTCAACTTCTTGGCGAGTAAGTCTTTCAAATTTGGATTTCGATAAAGAGTGAATCCAAAATACAAATTACGCGAAAAAGAAATAAATTTTATTTTTACTAAAATATATGATGTAATTTAGGTAATCTCATGTACTGTTCAGAATACACAGTTCCGTTTTTAAGCTGTTTGGTTGTCTAAAATGACCACAATATTATTTTTTTTTAAGAGCTCGGAACTGTTGGCTAAACCAAAGATAATGCTAAGCCAATATAATATTCTATGAACTAATTTCGTGTATTGGTTGTGATGAGTCAGATTGTACTTATATCCTTGCATATACTTCGATAATAACTTTTCAACCAGAACCTTTATAATAGAACATTAAGGTTTATTATAATGTCAGAGACGATAGCTAATTAAATTGATCGGTTAAAGATTGATTGATATAGAGGAACCAAACTTAATTCCGTGGACCTAGGGATTGTTAAGTTTTAATATTTTTGCAAATCTACATTGATATTTTGGACAAAAATATTGGATATTAATGTTGAACAGGTATTTCCAGGAGAAGGATGTATGTGTTCTTACTGACAGTCATGCAGACAGTTATCAAAGCTATTTCAGCAGTTCAAATCTCGTTTAATATTGTCTATAAATGTAGACAATTTATAAAATATTTAGGTAGCAGTTTCAAAACAACTTTCATTTACGTCTCCGGCATACAAATGTAGCTAGGTACGTGCTTATTAAGAAACTAGCGAGACTGGGCATGTCTACGATACAAAATTCCGTATAATTTTCTAATCCTACCGGTTACAGACAAAAATTGTCACATGATCACTTCTTACTATTTAATTTCATGCTTACGGAAATTCGGCTAAAATTTCTTCATTAGCTAGGTCAAGAGTGATGTAGCCTAGATACTCCAAATATATATACAAACTCTGACTTTATCAATATAAACAAGTTAAAAGTATTTTAGATAGTATGTAGTTGAGAAATAGGTTGTGTCTGCTCGGCTGAAAATCTTGTAGATCTGGTTTACCAGCATTCAAGGACGGAATACTAGAACACATATTGTGTTTTTGTGTACGAGTAGGCTAGATCTTTTGAGCATATAAATTTATAATTTATTCAGCGAACTATCATATATTAAAATTGACTGTATACTGACATTTATCAATGGCTCTGGATCGTTCTAATATGTCCGATTTGATAATACATAACGATTTGATTAATTTTTCACTTCACCTGTCTACTTTCCTACCTGAATTAAATGGAGTCTATGAATTATTTTTTATATCTTTATCTATGAAAACGGACTAAGTAACTTTACTGTGTTGGGAATCGTTTCCAACTAGGGTAAGAAAAAGGTCTGTAATTTATTCCAATAGACTAATAGAGAGTTGTAATTAAAATAAAAACTGGTGTAGCGTGCCTTTCCTGTGAACATTATGAGCAGCACAATAGGCAGAAAATAGTTTTTCAAGAAAGGTCTTGAAATGTGTAGCAATACGTGTTCACGTAACTTAACCTAACATATGCAAAGATTTTATATTCATTACAGTTTATTACTATTTTTTTTGTTCTTACATTAAAAGGTCAACAAAATCAAAACTGAGTGTACATGGAGTTGAATTCAGAAACTTGTGGTGCTGACATCTATTGTCCTCAGTTCCGTTTCTCTCTTTTCGCAGCCCTTTTACTTGTCAGAGCGTGATGGTGTATATTATATGCAATTCATTTGGAGCATTCTGTTGTTCCGTCCTGCGAAGAATGTATTTCTCCATTCAAGAATTTCCGATCAAAGATTATATTGGATAGACCTAACGTGTAAGCAAGCTTTTTTCTTTTCAACTTATATTCACTTTCGTCTTCATAACCAGTTTTTTAAAGATACTTTAGCTTTTAGCTATATAGCTATAATATGTCAGATATAATCTGGATATTACTGAGAAAATATGTTAATATTGAGAAAAATGCATTTATTAGTTAAAGTTTTTTAGATTTATTAACATCCATACTTCCGTAAGTTTTGCAACTGCAGCTCTCGTCATCCCAAAACGATACTACTTTCCCTGTAACTGTTACCAAGACACGGAGGATGACAGAGGACGTGAAGGTACCGAAAAATCAGATAATTTAGCTTAAAGCGATGTAGGTAATAGATCTTTGTATTTATGACAGACCAATTGCTAGATATTGAATCTGTGACACACCAATTACTAGTTCAAGTACCAACTAGAAAAATATGGCGAAGATTTCAATAGTCACTGCGGGTATAATATGCATATATAATCAAATATGTATATATATAATATAAAATAAACATTATGCATATGGTATCCTAATTGCTAGACTAAATACCACCTAAGAAAATATGACGATGATACCTGTCTCTCTGTCTTTGCCATAAAAATATAGAAATAGCAAATCACATACTAAGAACATACCCCGCTGCGGCCGATCGCAGAACTAATTATTTCGGGTCTGGAACTTAAATCCGAAGAGCTTAATTTGCAGCGGTTGTTTCAATATTCTTCAGGATTTTTAAATATTCTAAAAGTTGTAAACTTGAGCTATATAGAAGGCAGCATAAACACTCTGCTTATACAGATGTGACAATATAGTTTGAATTGTGATATAATATGTTAACAGTCATACTTACATATCTCTCATCCTCAGGATATAATGATAAAAATTATTTTTCTTACATATTAGAAAACATTTGCTTTATATTTTATATATATTTATTTTTTAAAATTTAGTACCTATTATTTTACATACATATGAACATATTTTATCTGTCAGCACTTCAATAAATAGAGTTTAAACTTTGATCTATGTAGTGGAGTAATCAGCTATAAATAAAATAATCCATAATTTTTGATTAAATAAAGAGAAAAATGTAAGCTAACATTTAAAGAAATATGGATTCAAAACTATTTAATGGAAATTTTCGAAAAATTTTAATTAGGATAACGCGTTCTGCAATTAAACTTTTAACTTCCTTTTACTTCTTCTATATTCAGCAATTAATTTATGTTCTTTAATGTAAAATACATCTTTTCATTATTTAATTAAAGATTTTGTTAGATTTGAGCAATTTGCAATATCAAGTGCTTTAAGTACTTAACTTATTTTTACAATTCTCATATGGTTCACATGAGCTCAGTTCAAATGCTACTCTAGTCCTAAGTGATGTTAAAATTACAATTAATTACAATGATATTTTAATGTTGTGCTTAATCTGTGCTAATTTAAAGTTTAATTCTAATTCCTTTTCACTTACTAACTAAATTTTGCGAGTTTTTAATTAATTTGCTAAAACACATAAATTCCCATTATTTTTCTTAAGTCAATTTTTAATTAACGTTTTTATTTACATCAATCACTGGCAATCACTGGCAACAGACGAGATGGGCTCATAAAAATGACAGATTCACCGCTTAATTAAACCATGGCTAACCCCTTATTTATGCTCTCGAGATGCTCCTTTGCCTTTATTCTTAATGTAGCGATAGAATTGGAGCGAATGTCCACTGTTTGCGGTTGATTTGGTGAATTTGTTGATGTGCGGTTGACAGCACCGATGCTGTTGCTGTTGCTGTGCAAAATTGCCACTGGGCTTTCACGTCCAACGTCGACGACTTCAATATTCGCTGATGCGCATTTTCCGCCTAGAAGTTCATTTGTCTCATTGTTTGTGGTGAGATTCTGTGGTGACAATGCATTATTACTATTTGGTGTGGTCTGTGGGGAATTTAGTGTGGGTGGTGGCATGCCGGAATGTGATAATGCAACTGAATTTGCATTTGTGACAGTTGATGTGGCGACAGACGAGTTGGCAGCAGCAATCGATAAAGTTACGCTTGTGGCTGGTATTAATTGTGGTGGCATTGTGGCCAAACTTTGTGGTGACATGCGTGACAAATGTGGAGATAAATGTGATAATGGCACATGATGGCCTGGATGTGTTGGTGCGCCTAACGGTGGTGGCGGATGTCCGGGTGGTGGTCCGTGTGTTGCATGCACTTGGGGTATGTGTGGTCCATGACCCATAGCTGCTAGGCTACTCATTGCTAGATTTGATGGCGCCAAACTAAGTGGTGGTGTTAAATAGCTGGGATAGACGGTCTGCGGATGCGAAAGGAAACCTGCCGAAGGACGAAGTTGTGGGTGAATATAGAAAAACTACAAAGTGAGTCATAAACAGAAATAAAATTTGAGCACAAAATTGATAATTACCTGGTAATGCGGATAGTAAAGGTGGTGAAAGCCAAGGATCAACCGGTAAACCTGAAGCGCCACAGCCTAAACGATGTGGTAATTGCGTAAAATGTGTGAGGCCAAGTCGTAAACTTTCAGATTTTTCTTGTCGGCGCCATTTTGCACGGCGATTTTGAAACCAAACCTGAAAAAAAAAATTAATTAATAATTAATTTAGAATTTTTTAATGAAGGGAAATAAATCATAAGTAAAATATAATGCAATTTCGGTTTCAAAAAGGAACGAAAAATTATATAGGGACAGTGGAGTAGACAGGATTGGGGTATATATCAGATATTTTTTTTGTCTGTTTCCGCAGTTAATAATGATAATATTTGTATCATGTATTATATTCATATGACCAATATATTATAGGTCGCTCATACCCCCTGTGATTTTGTATGACGCAGAAGCGAGAACGCTATCACAAAATAATGAAGATTTTTAGAAGAGTTTTAGAGAAAAAAGTTTTTCCTGAAATATTTGGTCCTCAATGAGCTGGCAACAATTACTGCATCCAAATCAAACCCGAGCTGCACCAGCTTTATCGCGACGTCCATATAATTTAACGAATTGAGATGCACTGACTTCGTTGACTTGGACATGTTATAAGATTTGATGACGATGCTCGAGCTAAAATGTTATTTAAGGCGTAGACCGCGTCGTACAGCTTAAATAAAAATATTAAGTATGGGAAGCGTATTTATGCTTCGAAAGAAATATTCTGTTAATATTTCTATTCAAGAACTTTCAATCAAACATCAATATATCAGATTTCATGAACGGCTTGAAAATAGATTTCTAGGTGGGAGCAAAAATTTTCGTTGCATTTGTAGTGATAAACCACTCTCTTAGACCGGTGTGGTGCTTCTCTTGTTGTATTCCTAGGGGTAACGGTTTATATTTCTCTGAATATTTTTTTTCTACGTGTTACTTACTAAAGTACTTACTTCTAATTTCTTCAGCTCACAAATAAAAACAAGTGACTTAGTCTTTCTGTTACTTCCGGTTAATATGGCACTCACTAACCAAGATCTTCGGTTCTCATCTCAACTCATCAGCTTACAGAAGTGCGCTCTGATTACTGGTGTGTAGGAATACAGGTAGAGAAATTGCTCATTCCATTTAATTTCTATTGTCAAAGTTGTTTTAACTTACTGGAAAGAGATGCAGTTAAGCATTTTCTCTGTGAGTCTACGGGTCTGGCTTCCTCAAGAATTATGGTATGTTTTTTGGGAATACGTTTTTGACAGTTGGTTATACTCTTTATTGGGAAGGGAGAAATATCTATTAAATTAATTAAATTCGATGTGGTGGACTTAAAACATTCAGCTTTGAACTCCTGAAGAAACAGGAAGGTACTTTTTGACAGTTTTTCAGTCTTTCATTATGAGTAGGGGATAAAATCTTTATTAAATTATGCAGATTCAGTGTGTGTATATTTTATATCTTATAGTTTCTAAAAGAATGTGGTAGTAAATGCGAAAAACAGCTAATTGTGGTCAGCAGCATGATATATCTGGATCTGCCACTGTAATCAACCAATCAAGCGTTGCGAATAAAAAGTTACTTGTGTAGCAAGAATATAGAACCTCTAAACACACTATAATTTATTGCTCTCCCCTCGTTCCTATATTAACGGTACCCACTTAATCGTATAAACCCTAACAAGAAACTCGTAAAACATCATTAAATCAACGTCAAGACAAAAACAACAACAACAATAAAAGCAATAAAACGAAGCCTTTAAACAAACACAAACGCACACACACACACACAGACACAAATACAAGCACAAATAACTAGTGCTGGCGTACAAAGATAGCAGACAATGTGGGGAATGAGCATGAAGGCCATGAAATGTAATTACAGCTGAATGAGCTTAATTACAACACCAACAACAATTGCCTTACTAACAACAAAATGGCGGCATAACCAACTGCGAAGATTATTGAAGAAAGCACACACACAGATGCTAAGAAAAAAATTTCACTGTCAGAGAATAGAGCAAGAGACAAAATTCAATTAGTGCCGTAACACTAATTAGAATTATTGCAACAATGAAGTTGGAGGAGGTGGAGATGTAGGTGGTTAGTTGGATGGATACAGCTTAAAAGCTTAAACGAAGAAAATGGCGTCGCAAGTAGATGAGTTTGTGCAGAGACGACAGTTTGTGATGTACGCGCTTATAGGGACATAATTAGCGTGTAGCTAAAAGTGTATGCGGAAATGAGAGAGAAATAGAACAACAAGCAGCTAAGTGTTACACTTTGTGTATGTATGTAAGTATGTGTGTATGTATGTTGTATTTTGTGGAAACTTTGTTGTCGCATAAAATAATTAAATACAATTTGCGCGAATTAATAACAAATTATGATGTTGGAAATCTAATTTTGACGTTGTTTACGTTGTTGAATGATTTACGAAGTTAAGAGAGAAAAAAAAAAAAAAAAACAAACACAAATAAGAAAGTGAAAAAAGTGTGTGAAGATGAAGATGAGTGACGTGTGGTTGTAGGTTTCAGTTTAAGCTTATTTATAATGAAGCATAAACAAGCTTAAATTATTTTGAGGCTTTATGTCAGAGTGATTTTTTTTTTATTGTGTAAGTGAGGGATAGATAGATATAGAATGTAAATTAAAATTTTTAATGACTTTTTTAATTAAAACAATTTTTCAGTTAATTGCCTTTTATTATTTTTGCTAAACAGAAAATTTTTAATTGAAATAAAAATAGAAAAGAAAATCATTGAGTTAAAAATATATAGAATAAGGACTGGTTTAATTAGAACAGTTAGATTTATATGAAAAATGTTTTCTTCTAAATCTTATTTGTCTTAATTTAAATTAAAATTTAATAAAATGTAATATTTTGATGCTAATTAAATTAAAACTTTTGTGTTACATTTGGTTAGTCTTAGTAAATTGTTACAAAAAGATGTTTATTTTTTCTTATTTTAAATAACAGAGTAGTTTAGAACCCTGCATGTATTTTATATATATTATAAAGTTCTATAATTATAATCAAACACTAGTTTGTTGTTATAATAATCAGTGATCTAAGCGAGGCTTGGACACAGGCTAACGAAGAAAAAAATTTTAATTGATAATCAAACCAGGGACCCTACCTTCAAATATTTCCGCTAAAGTTACAGGGTAGAAATGGTCTGGCACACGAAGGGGATTGTTTTTTGTCCATGCAAATCGGACATACCACTTTTGTGACGGTATTGTGAGGATGCGTTAAGCAATTTTAAATCTTTTCTACACAACAAATAATAATCAGTGGAGATCTGCTGTTTTAGGCCTTAGTTGGTATTATAAATGTTGATGCCACTTGGTCAAAGAAAAAGACGAGTGAATCCTGATCGTAGATTCGATCGCTATTCGTACTATTAAACACTGTGTAATATTAATCTTGATTTTACATAAATATTTCTTGTTTTGCCAATTTTAGGTATACGACCTATGTTTTATCTTATTGAAAGTAAATAAATTATTAATATTTTAAACTTTTTTATATTATTTGATATTTATTTTTTTAATATTGCGAACTTAAAGTTTAGCAAAAAACAGAAATGCTTATTATTTTTAAATTTTATTCCAAAAAATTTAGTAATTAGTATGATTACTAACATTTATTTAACTATTAAAAATATTAGTAAGTGTTAGAAAATATAAGTAATGAGTATTTCTTTTTTTGCTGCGTTTTAACTTCGCAATATTAAAAAAAATAAATATCAAATAATATAAAAAATTTATAAAATATTAATAATTTATTTACTTTCAATAAGATAAAACAAATAAAAATATATAAAAAGTTACGATTGATAATGATGTTTCGATCGGGTTAGGATCCAGTTGTTTTTTTTTATGACCAAGTAACGTTCAACGTTCCCAAAGGGAACTACACCAGCAGATAGATGTATTTAGTAAGTATTTAATTCCACATTTTGATTAACTAATAAATAACTAATTTTTAGTAATTAGCTAATTGAAGATATTCGAATCACTCGATTTGAAAACTTTTTTTACTTAAATATTTTTTTTTAAATTTTTTAAATGAATTAATTTTCAATTAATTTCTCATCACTTCAAGCAATAACTTTAAATTTCATTTAATTATAATTTCCACCTTTCATTTATAACGCAGCAAATTTAATATATATACATCCACTCAATTTCCCCACCCGCACAACGATGCGCTTGACTGTTTTAATTTGTGCCTTTGCTTCTTCATTTTAATTAAATCATCAAAATCAATTTTGCAATTTCCATTCATGGCGCAGAATTATGGAAATTAGTGTTTGTATGTATATATATATATGTATGTATATATAAAGTGAAACAAACAAACACTCATAAGCACACACACAAACTCACATACACATATCAATGGAGCTAGTATTAAGGTACAGAGACACTAAATAAACAACGCCCACTGTCAATCAGCCAACGACCCCCTTTGAGTAAATACAGCCGCGCACACACAAATACAAATTCCATACATTTTACACAATCGACACACAGCATCCAATAAACATTATTAAGCTTTCATTTTGGACTTTTGTGGATGCTGTGGAAAATACCCGCCAACACCAACACCAATACCACTATATATACAATGCTTCAAACTCTAATATGTGTTGTTGCTGGCTATATCGTATAGCTTATAAACCCTAACGCCCACTTTGCGTTTATTGCATACAAACTCATTTCAGTGTAACGAAACTTTGTTTTTCTTCTACAAACTTTAGCAACGTCAACTGACATTTTTTGTTTTGCGATTTTATTTTGTTTTTGTAATTTTTGTGAAATTTTGTTTTTGTTTTTGTTTTCAACATTTTATTTCATCGACTTTAATCTTTTTCATAAACTTCACTTGGAAGCAAACAATTTGCGTTTCATTCTTTTAACGTTTGGTTAATTTTTTTTCTTTTTTTTGTTGCGTAGTCATTTTATGCATGTTGCTTTTACGGCAGCGGTGGTGGGGAAAAAAACCAAATGCTCAAGTGCTGCTGCCAATCTTTACCAACTAAATTCATGAAGCTGACTGACTTACGTGTGCAACATTTTGAAGTTTGAAAATTTTATTGGAAAACTTCATCATTGGGTGGCAGAAAAAGCTATACAAAATAACAAAAAC